CTACTCTGGAGGTGGTAACCAAGCATTAGGTTCCTAAGAAGAGAGATCTCATTTTGTTTCTTTATACCTTCTTACTCACTTCTGTTAATTGCTGGAGCAAGAGACATAGAAAGTAGCATTATATGTGCTCCTGGCTGCCAAAGGCTGTGCCTAGAATCTGATGGTGTGGCTGAACTGGCTGACAACTTGCATGGTTTCGAGTTGGAGCTAACCTCAATCCACAGGAACTTGGTTTTGTACAGTTTTGAGGACTCATGTCATGTGGGTTATTTGGTAACATGCAACTGGCCTGATGCTAGTCCTTGAGCAGTGCATGAATTGTCAGGCATCTATCAATCACAGCCAAACTAAAGGAGCAGCCAGAGGATAGAGGGGAAGTTAAAAACTGTTGGAGAACACGATTTTTGTAAAATTGACTGGACCTTAAAATGGGACATTCCCTGGAGAGGGGGTTTATAGATACATATCAAGGACTTTATTCTACCTATTTTATTATAATTTTGTGTGCATGTGAACACTTATATTATACAGCCCAACTACATGAAGGGATGTTAAATATGTAAAACGTGAAAGATGTTTCTGTTAATTCCCCTTCTTTATCCACTTGTGCCATAACTAATTTTAAGAACTGACACTCAGGCTGGGTCTTAGCCCCGAATAGCATGTTTATGCTTAGGATCTAGCCATTACTGCATTTCCCCAAAATTAACAGAATATTAATTCACTCCTGCATCCCCAAAAAAGAAGCAGAGTTAGGACAATTCCCTATAATCACCATTCAAACAGTACTGAATTTGGAGACTTGAAAATATAGTGACAGGTAATAAGTGCTGTTTTAATAGCCCAATCTCACAGGTTAAGATGGTGCTGTCTCTGCAGTTGGTAACGTATAGTCAAGAACAAAAGATTTGTTCGTTTACAGGTTCAAATATTGTACAGTACATCTGTTGTAAATATACAGATTTATGGAGGGAAAGATCTTTCCAGCATCACAAACTTGTCATCTGCTTTATAATTTTTGCTGCGTGTAATTCCTTGGAATCATTTTTAGATCTCATAACTCCCAATTTGCCTGTTCCCCCAATCTTTTATCTATACAATTATATTTAATGGCTGAATTAATAAAGCATCCATTTAAATATGGAAATACATGTAACTTATTAACAAGGGCACTGGACAAGTTGATAAAGGACTCCTTGATTTACAAAAAAATCAAACATCTTTCACATTTATTACACAGATAACACAGGGTTTAATTTTTATGAATATAAAATTAATTTATAAAGATATTTATTTGAGAACACTCAAGAAAAAGGTGCCTTTTAAAATGGATCTTATTTATGAAATGCTGAATTCCACTGTAGGCAGTACTGTACTGTATACCAACCTAGGGGAAATGCATTTAAAACCCAAAGGAAAACAAGTATTTTCTGCCAGATAAACCAGCATACTGAATACACATGTATACACATGTATAGAGCTTTGTAATAAAACATGTATTAGCTTCTTTGCAAACATTACTTTTCATTTAGATGCTGTGTATATACAATTTGGAAGGTACCACTTAATAAGAATATTCAAAATATGTGTAATATTAAATTCTATATAACATGAGTGTTTAACAAAAAAGAATAAAAATAAAAGGACAATAGGCAAGGAGAGAAAAACACACTGATTTCAATCCTTAGTAGTCATGCTCTACAATGCAAATAAAATATAACCAAGAGAAAAAAAAAAATTGCAGAGTTGGAGGTGAACTGTGAGCTTGCTTACTGGTGCCATATATGTGAGTTCCAGCTGTGGAGGCTCATATAATAGAAAGCAGTGACTGCTGGGTAAAGATATGATAAAAGAATGCCCTCCACAGGGATTTCTTTCACTCTGACATTAAAGTCATTGTCTACTGTTATCAAAAACTGCAAGCATGGGAACACACGTATGTCATTATTTCAATTCTGACAGTTTCCAGTAGATGTCCTCACAAGGCAATAGTGTCAGAGAGCCCAGAGATGTCACCATAACATAAATTTGGGGTGGGGAAAGAAAGAGAATAGATTTTATCAAAGTAATAGGACACTGCAAATAAAAAGGAAATGAGAAAATGCAATACTTAATTTATCATTTGTAAATGTAGTTGTGAAAGATAATAAAGGGCAAACAAATGGCATCTCACTGGAGTTTGAATGGATATATGGGTCTAAAATGGGTATTTACAGTATTTCAGTTTTATTGTTGAGCATTTTTCCCATTTGGCACTAAACAAAACAGAAGGATCTAAAAGGTATGGGGTATAATTTAAAACATTTAAATCTGAAAGCCTGAACATCATGTTTTAGATGGAGAAGAATAAGAACTTGCATAATATTTCCTTCCCCCAGGTAAAAGTATCACTGTAGCCTTAGCTTGGATACATAACTGATGTTATGCTGCCTAGCCTACTATTTAGCAGTAAGTACATACCAAGGTTGTCACCAAACATCTCTCTGAGCATGAATGGGTAATGCTGTAAAATCATTTAAAAATGGATCTGCTTGCAGCAATGATCCTCAGTCAGTTCAGTAACTGTGAGGTTTTAATAGAACAGTAAAATATTGATTCTACTTGTTTCTCTAACAAAGTGGGCACTGAATCGTGGGCACAATGACATCTTCAAAATTAATACAATATTAAGTCATATTTAGCTACAGATGTATTGCTTTAATTAGCATTGCTTTGGGAAACTCACAAAACAGAGGGTTTCAACCCATGGCCCACATGACTGATAATCTGTAGCCCTTTCTCTCTATCATCTAGCTCAGGGGTTGTCAATTGGGGGTACGTGTACCCCTAGGGATACTTGGAAAGGTCATAGGGGGCATGCAGGCGGGCAGGGATGGAGTGTGCCCCAGGGCGTAGTGGTGGCATCTCCCCTGGGGTGTTCCCACGTTTTGCTTGTTAACCAGCGGAGGGAAGTGCTGGGCATCGCGGCGCCTCCCTACCCTCCACCCCAACTCGCTCTCCTGATTGGCCATCAGGCCACTGCCCTTGGCCAATAGCTGACAGGGAGGAGGCGCCCCTCTGTGGACAGACATGAGGCGGGGGGCTCACATGTAGTGGCTGCAGCCGCCATCCACCACCTCACACTACCACCTCCCAGGAGTAGGGCCGGGGGGCAAGGGCAGCACTGCCTCTCCACTCTGAGGGCCACACAGGAACTGCCTGACCAGCTAGTCAGACAAGAGGGGGGATCTTGGACATGGCAGCTGCCACCACCCCACACCACTGCTGCACACTGCTTTCCCATGGCCGGTCGCATGTGTGACTCTGCGGGCTGCCACTTCCTTCCCCAGCCCCCTAGCTGGCTGGCCACCGCTGCCACCAGAAGGGGTACACTAGTTAAAAAAGGTTGAAAACCCCTGATCTAGCTCATGGGGATGCTCCCACTAAGTGACTTCATGCCCTCCCTTGGGAAGAGCACTCAGAACAGTGATCATATCAAGTCCCCTGAGATAGTGCAGAGAGGGAGAGGACGAGGGCAAGGGCGAGGGCAAGAGCAGGACTGTCTGTGGCATAAGGGGAAGTAGCAGAGGTGCAGCTGGCCAGCTCTGTGTGCGGGGCAGCTGTACACAGTGCGGGAGCACTTGAGGTTCTTTACTGTGGGGGGGAAATGTCACTACCTTTTTTGCCACCAACATGTGTCATGCAGCTCTTTAAAACCAATATCCAGTGGCAAAAAAGGAGACAACTTCTCTCCTCACATCAGCAAACCTCCAGCTGCTGCTCCTGCACTATGTGCTGCCACCACCTAGGACACCGTGTGCCATCCTGCTGCTCTGCTCTGCTGTCAGAACCAGAGCCATTACAGGAAAGGTGTAGGCTGCAGTGACAAGAGTAACGGGAGAGTGAGGTGTTCTTCAAGCTCTATTCTGATGCCCCCCGTCCTTTAGGCAGCACCCAGGACTTATACCCTTCTTGCCTTCCTATTGTTGCATTAATGGGAAATAGGTCAGTGAGAGAGAGAGTGGAATTGTACAAGATAGGAGCAGGGGAGCAATCTGGCACCTTCCAGTCCCAAAGGAGAGAGGAATAGAGCAGACTGATAGCCAGGCAGGAGAAAATGGGAACTGTATGGTCCTGAAGGGGTGCAGTCCATATGACATATGGAGGGTCATGGTCCTAGATCAGCCTCCAGTGGAGAACAAATTGCAAACTACTGTCATAAAACAACTGTGCAGATGAAAAGTTCTTTGAACTTAGTTGCCCCTAAGAAAACAGGAAGCTCTCACACATGAGTTCAATGCCATAAGAAGAGATGTATATTATTTCCCTAGAATTTTAGCCAAATTTTAGTCCTTATGACAAGGAAGCCTGATAAATACCGGTAACAAAAGCCAAATAACATTAGAGAAGATGCTGTAATGCTTCACTTCTTAACACAGCTTAACCAAACTAGAATCTTGAGCTGTAACATCCCTTCTGTTTTTAAACTCTAAGGGAACACAAACAATGGCAAAGTGTGTAATGGTTTTGTAACAAGCATTGAACCGTGAACTAGACTGAGAACACAGATTTTGGAACATTTCCAAAACAGGAGACTAGACTATGATGCATCATTAAAAGCTGCAATTTTCAAAGTTGCCTGTGGCAGTTGGTTGCCCAAATTACTGAAAGTCAATATGACTTGAACATATAATGTCCTTAGGCTGCCTTGAGAAAAAAAAAATCAGCCTTAAAGTAACTTCCCCCCTCCAAACTGAAGCTAAGATTGTTGGGTTAGTTGATGCTCAAGGCTCCATCTACCAAGTTTTTTCAATAGGTCCACACTGTTCCTGAGCACCTAGCTATACATAGGAATCCAGCATATAGAAGGGACACTGAAGAAACCAGAATAAAGAAGGCTCTTTGAAGTGGACATGCTTGAAAGACAGAGCAGTTAAAGGAGGGCTTTGGAGCCACCCTGTAAGGCTGAACAGGAAAAGGAACTGAGAGCCTTGTGAGAAAGTTTACAAATATTTTAATGGCTCATCCTCAGTGAGAATAGTGGGAAGGCAATAACTTTCTGTGGAGTCCAGGAACCAGTTGACGGTTTTAGAAGGCAACTTTTGATGTCTTATATATATATGTATATATGTACACCTAGATGAAATATAACCATTTAGAAAAAAATAGTTACAACAATTTCACCAAAGTTAGAAGACCCTTGACATTTAAAATAGCCTAGATAACAGTTTTACAAAAGGCTTATTTGTTTTTCTTAAAGAATGACAGTTTTTAACCTGATGTAAGTAAACAACCATGTCACTGATGCAACTGAGTCATGCTTGATCTGTCAATGAATCATTTTACATAATAGCAATTTGCAATTAAATAATATCTTGAATTTCCTGGAAAACACTGCTTATTTTGTTCTGAGAAAATAAAAATCCAAAATCTGAAAAGCATGTTAAATACAGTAAATTACAACAGTTTGGTTTTCTTAGCTTAGGCACACGGCTCTCTTCAATTATTCATGAGGGGAAGACCTTCTTTAAACCATAAAATTTAAGTTCTCCTAAACTCAAATTACAGTACAGCAGTTTCGTAGTATAAATCTTTCTGTTTTAAATAATGGATGAAGAAGTAGGACCAATTGGCAGCTACCATACATTACTTCTCATTTTGTGTCACCTCACAGACATTTCTTTTTTTCCTCCCCCAAGCCTATTATCCTGCACTTAACTGGATAAGAGAGCAGGATTATAGGCGCAAGGTAGATTTTAGCAATGTTGTTTCTGAACACAGATTTACTGTAGAAATACTGTGTCACACATGTACAGCTAATGCAAAACCATGCATAATATTAAAATAAAACAAATCATAAACAGATTCTATAGCTCCTGTATTATTATGCAAATGCATCCAAATGTAAACAACCTCTTTGCAGACTAAGTCATCCAAACATATTTTCCCCCCCTAGGAAACTGTGTAAGGATAACTGTACACGTATCCAAAGAAATAGAGTTGTCCTTTTATTGGATGTCCACAGGTAATCTTATCACATTAGGGAATGGAAAAATCCGTGGTATGGCACAACACAATACCTTATTCTAAACACTTAAAACAGAAGGTTAAATGATATGTAACATGTTAAAATCAGTAGCCCTCCATATTCCAGGCACCACTGATTAATTTATAATAAAGTTTAATAAACTGAAAAAATAATATTGTCCATTAGTTTTGTTCGTTGCACTGTCTTTAAATGAAACAGCACTCGAACCTCACAAATAAAAAAGCAGCACTTTCTTTTAATACCAACACCACTGTAACACATACTGTAGCGTGGCATGCAAATCCACATCTGCAGTCTTTTTTTGTATTAACAAATGGAATGGTAATTTTCTATTTCAAATATTAATAGCATAACATGTAAGTGCAGATCATTCTGGCCACAGGAGTGGTAAGCCTTAACAAGTGTGTATTACAAGAGCATAAAACACAGAGCATGATACTTACATCCAATCTTTCTCGTTTATACTGTAACAAAGACTGTCATACAGGCAGAATTCCAAGTTGCAGGACCCCAATTTCCAGTAAGTAGGATTACTGACCATTTCTGTTTTTTATTTAAAAATAAAAGCAGTTGCCATCAAAACATACTCATTAACACCCTGGTCAAAATAAAACCCCAAAACCATAGCTCCATTGAAAAAATAACTTGTCCATTTAGTAGACTCCATTACATGGGAAAGTTTGCATTATTATAGGCATGTTAAAAAGTCTTACAGTGGTAGTAAAGTCTTTCATCTTGAGTAAACATTTGAACATTGCACCATTTTGTGGTGTCTGTAGTCAGTAAAAGTTGGTCAAACTGAACTAAGCTTCACAAGACCACGTACTGAGTCTTCATGCAATGAGTCTTGGCTGGCTAGGCTCAGGACATGCATGGTATGGCTGTGTGTAATAGGGCTTCCTGTTGGCAACATACCAGGAGGTGATGGTGCTTCCTCAGGAGTAAGGAACTGATGACCTTCGTGCTCCTCCTTTAATGGTAGCATGTCTGTCAAACCTGTTTCTGAGGTGAGATTTGGCATGGAGGATGGTGGTGTCGGCTGCCCTAGGGTCAGCGTGGCACAAGGAGCACTGATAGTGGTCTTCCCTGGTAAAGGTAGTTCTTCGCTAGTTATGCTGGGCTCACTCTGTAGTAATGGTGTGGCAGCAGCCTGCAAAACGAATTTAGTGCTCTGAATGCACTGATCTTGGTCACACTGTAGAATGGAAGAGTCAAAACCATACATGGGACAAACAGAAAGAGGGAGGATATGGACAAAAGATATGGAAGAGAATGGGATGTGAGGAAAAAGAAGAATTCATTAGTATCATTCCAGGGTTAGCCAATGGAAAAAAATATTCCATGCTGACAAAAAAAAAAGCATGCATAATTAAGTCAGCTAATTCTTGGGATAAATGCCAGAGTAAATTCTGACAATTATTTATCTACAGTATGCAAGGGTCAAGTACCCTTGGTTACTTCTGAGTAGTACTTTGTAAGCAAGTTTGACTTATAGATGTTTGATTTTATTTTTTCTTGAAAAAAAATCTTTGAACTCCTGGCTGATTGATTTCCTGGGTGGTTCACTGCACAGAGAAAGAAGTGGCAACTCAAAATATCACTAACACTAAAGAGTATTTAAAACAGGATGATGGACAACTTTTAAAGCTGCTCTTTTTTTTTCCATAGGATGGATAAAGTCAAAGAAATCTGGAAAAGGCCTGAAGCCACAAGGCAAATGCCTCTGTGGCTAGGGACAAGGTTACACTAAGTGTTCAGGTTTAAGTAATCAGAAACTGGTTTAAACCTGTAACAGAACAGAAGCTCAGTGCATGTAAACCAGTTTCAAAATGGCTGAAACTAGTTCCAGATAAACCTGGTTGAATGCAGCATCAGACTTAACTGATTTGGGTCAAACCAGTTTATGAAACTTTTGTACCAGGCCCCTTCCTGTTTCAAGTTCAATCAGAGTCCCTCAGCATCCCAGCATGCTTTTCAGCCCTGGGCTGTGCTCCACTGTCTGCTCCAGAGAGCATGGCTGACCCCACCCGTCCACTCCCTAGCTATAACAGTGAGGGCTAACCTGCAAAAACTGAATCGATTCAGCCTCAGGCTTTCTGACTGTCTGTACTTAGCCTGTGAGTTCAAGAACACAAGACTCTCATCACATTCTTTTTTTAATTTTATTTTGAAGTCTTCATGGAACTTGCGAACTGTTATGCTGTAGAAGCTTGCTTAGGCCAAATATCCTTTTGAACATGGGCCTACTTCCATATAAACAGGGCTGGCAATTAGTCTCCTTTCCCAAGATCTTGTTTTCTGGGCTGTTTCTGAAATGTTCTTCAGGCAAAGGCACGTACATGGCATAGGAGCATGATCATGTGGACTGGACTTGAGAGAAAAGTTCACTTCCATGGTTTTTTATGCTGCTCTTTGTTTGTTTAATTTTGACAGCATGGAGGACCAACATGTAGCTATACTAATTTATGGCAAGCATCCCAGATTTTTATAACAGAATGGGCCAAATTCAGTTGCAGAGTATTTTAATTAAGCCAGAAGTTACACCAGGGATAAGTCTTACATACTATCCATTGCAAGAACAGCATAGTCAAAATTATCATTCACTACCTAAGGTGACAAAAGTTATAGCCTGAAATGCTGAAATACATCCAGCTACCTAAAACTGAAATAAGCTCCGTGACACAGACTTTTTGCAACATACTAAAATAGCTGTTTCCAAATAGTAACCACTTTCAATTGATTGCAGATATGTTTTAATTCTAGACTTGGCGCTTATGCTTCAGCTGTAGGGCTACTTCCAAATTCAGATCCTTTAACACTGGCTAGTGTGCCTGACTTGCTACAAGCAAGGCTTCCAGGACACCAGATATTTATTTATAGATATCTGGTTCCCGTCTGTCTTTTTTCAATATTGTTTCATTCCTCTGACATACAGTATATTGCTGTTATTCCCTTCTGTTGTACATGATGCAAGCGTTACAGACAATGTGTTCTATCATCAATCCAAAACTTGAAAGCAAAAGATAAATCTATAGTTATGGCAGTGTGACAGATACCTGTTCATGCAATGTAGGCATTTCATGAATTCAGTTTTACTTATAATGTAAAATTATTTTTAAAACAGTTTGATTGGGCTTTAATTTCTATTAATAATTGAATTATTCTAAAACAAAGATAATAGTGCAGCAGAAACTAATCCAATAAACGATTACATTCTCTCACATACAACATGCACCTTTCCCCTGAAAATCAACCCCCCACAAAATTGGGGTGCATGAATTGAGCTGGGAAGCTGATTTTCTGCCTAGTGTTGTGAACACTCTGATTTGATTCTTGCTCCACAGTACAGTGACTCTGGTATTACGGTTCAGGCAGTTGAGGGAGTCAACTAATGGCTCATTGGTCTCCACTCTACAGGTGTTAATGACCATCCATCTGTCTTATGGTCTTGACATTCCACCAATCGAGTCAACTTTCTAAGTACAATATTGTCATCTTCTAGCTGCTCCTGGTCTCTCTATTTCCACAGCCTCTTTAGTTCAAGAGTCTTTAGCTCTTAAGCACAGATTCTTCAGCTATTTTCAAAATCATATATCTACCTATGGAGACCAGTCTTCAGCAGCAGCTAGGGATTCAGCTTTAGTTAAGCAGGAAATGGACAGTGAGTCAGCTGAAGATTAGGCCATCTACTCTATACAACCATAACCTTGGGGGAAAAAAATTCTTCATTTTGCCTTTCAAAAAAAAGGTGCATATTATATTTGGGTTGTGTTGTGTGCAAGAAAATACAGTAAATCTCCTTGCCCATGCCCCAGATAAAAAGTAAAACAAAAATTTAAATCCTTTCCATTACTTCTCATTCCTACACATGTATAAAGTTTGGGATTTCAGCTAGGTTCAGAAATGGATGTGCCAAATTACTATATTTACTTGAATAGAAGACAGGTGTCCCCCACCTCCAATGAGCATGGGGGGAAAGGCCCCTCATCTTATAGTCACATGTAAGGAAACCTCATTAAATATGTTGTCTATCATTAAACTGCTGCCAACAGCAGCATGTGCTCAGTAATGGAAAACACCTGCAAAATTAATTAAACGCAGCCAACACTGAGCATAACTGTAAAACACATGGTCCATATTAAGCACACGTGCTGATGGGAACCTACCAAAGAGTAAGTTATTAAAGTCTATCAGAATAGGTGTATGGTAACACCCACTAAGCACAGCCCCCCTCAGTGGCAACCTTTTCCAAGTCATAGTGAGCCACTACACTGCATACATTTCAACTTCCTCTTCACTCCCACAGCTGAGCTGGGCCTTTCTTTCCTCTTGTCAATGATTCCTGTTTCTTCACCCACCTTAAATGTCTGGCAAATTTCACCAAATGCAGTCCTAAACAGTTCACCCCAAGTCCCCTGGTCACATCCTCGCTCAACCTGTCACATGCGATTAGTGTGGCCCCCCCCCATGACGTGAAGCTGGATCAGGTTGCCCTGTGCCTCATCTGCATATAATTTTTTGGAGGATCCCAGGATTTGTGACAAGAATACCTGGTTCCAGTCAGGACTTGGAAGCTAATTAGCATATGGATCCTTTTTGGGGGAAGTGAGGTTATCTGGAGTACAAACACATACACACACACACACATATACTGAGAAGTGCTGAGCTGCAAGGTCACCATAGCTTGAAATGCTTTTGACTCTGTTGGGGCCTTGTCCCATGAACTATATGGCCTTTTGACTTTAGCCTAATATCAAGGATAGTTTGTACTATATATAAAGTAGGTACAAAAGTGCTTCTTAAAAGTGTGTTTTTGGAGTATTGGTGCTAAAACTTGCAGCATTTTCATAAAAGGTAAAATGCATCAATTCTGGATGAACTAAGGATGCTTATACACGTGCAAGGGGAGGCAAGGGGGAGGCATACAATTACAGTGGCTCTAAGAGCATCATGTGTATTAGCATCCCCATGCTGAAAAATGGCAGCAGGGGTGTTTTAACTAAAGCTCGTCAAATGAACTTTAGTGAAAGTGCCCCACTGCCATGTTTCCGCACAGGGATGCTAATATACGTGATGCTGGAGTCTGCTGGAGCACAATAATTACCACACTTCAGCATACTTGATTAATCTATTCTGCTCTGATGTGCTGTAATCATAGTGTGTCAAAGCAGCCTCAATGCATGTGTATAAGGACCCCAAATCTATGTGTACTATATGCAAATTGCTACAGGCATGTTTATTTCAAGATTAGTTTCAAATTTGCCCCTCACTTCCATGTGCTCAGGGAGAGGAGGGTCTGACAGTAAGGAGAGGGGAAAAAGGCTGCAGGGGGAAGAAGCTGTAGGGGCAGAGGGCAAGAGGGTTCCCAGGCCCTCCAGTTTTATTTTCCCCTGCTGTAGCAATACAAAATAGAAAAGATGAGGGACATATTTCATAATCCAAATCGTGTTCCAGCCTGACCAGATGTGAGGAGTTTAAAATTTCTGAGAGCTACTCCTTGCAAGATTTCCTTCCTAATATTATAGATCTAAGAGGATTGGACAGTGTCTCTAAGTAGTTAAGCATTTGGATGTTTTTCCAAATTGAAAAGCTTAGTATTTGGAAGTTTCATTGCTCATATACTATTTCTCTCACCCCTCAGCCCACCTTATGAAGTATATGCTTTAATCTTGGGATAATGGTTTTACTTATAAATAAACATACTAAGTAATCTAATCCTTATAAAAATGAATGGGGTGATGCATGTTGCACTTTTAAGTGCCCCCTTGACTTTTTTTTTTTAATTAACCAACAATCAAATTACTCCAATAAATTAAAATACGGAAGCAATTATAATTAGGAAAATCCTGAATCAGCTGGTGCTTGCAAAACAGCAGTTTCCCAACATCCCAATGAGGTTTATGGTCCCACTGTGCTAGGCTTGGTGTGAACTCACCGGAAGGCAAAGCTCTCTTCTCCGAACAACGCATGACAGGACAACACTTTCAGCCACTCAGTTTCTCCCACCAGAAAGCAAAATGACCCCACAAAAGTTGTACCAAAGTAAGCAGCAGAGTGATTATTTAATCAAAGTATAAAAATTTAGGGTAAAAATTTAAAAAGTGCCCAAGTGTCTCAATGCTTTTCAGTAGGATTTAAAACACTTTTGAAACTGTTACCCACGTGTAGTGTATGCACTCATATATGCATGTTTCA